AAACATCCTGATGGATTTACGGGCACTGCGTTTACAGCTTGATAAAAGAAATCACCAACACATGGACCGCCAGTAATTCTGCCCTTGATTATTTCAAATGCAGCACCTAGGTTATATAAATTACAATGTGTTTAAAATATGCGTGTATAATATACATTAATACCATGTAAAGTTAAAAAGTTAAATACAATATAGCACAGAAATATATTTTAAAACATATTATTTGAATTAACATATAAAGTACACTTATATAACAATTTTATAAATTACAAACTTTACCATTAGTAGAAATTCTAATAGCAGTTGCATTGTTGACGGGTAGGGGCACAGCATTGCCCCGCAAATCGGTGCCCATATAGCCGGCAAAGGGTCCACTAAACACATGGTAACCGTTGCACGTGAGGTACTCGGGATAAGTAGCACTTAAGATCATGCTGGCTAAATAAGAGCCCCGCGTGCATACTGTCGATATGTTTATTACGGCGTGTGTTAATACATATGGTGTATATCCTATGTTTAAAACAATTATTATCAAGTAGAGTTAAGATTGAATTATGGTAATAATATATTTAACCAATTAAGACTTTCTCAACATAGCCAGGAATAGTACTAGATTGAGTTTGAGCTTGATAAAGACCAATAATAATTAAGTGTATTAAATAAATATATATTATAAACGCAGCCTTCATTTTCACTTGGGAGTCAATTGATTTGAAACTAAAAAATAATATATAATAATTACTTAAAAATGGTCTATGTTGAAAAATTATTAATTGAGTTGAGCAGTGTGATATAATATATTAACTATATACTGTATATGTAAAATATTAACTCTGTATACAGTACACTGTATACTTTCAGCTTGCTAATTATGTAATGAACGATAGTATGTGGGTTTGCAAAGTACTATAATCATTCATCATTATAGACTTATAATTCCCACAAGTAACGTATAGATTATATACATATTGATTGTGTAAATAACCCTCGGTCTGTATGTTGACCGAAAAATATTCCATATAAAAAATATTGTAATTTTATAAATATTAATTATTTTTAATAACAATTAGACAGAAAGTGTGCTATATAGTGTAATAATTATATATTTAAAACTCTACCAGGTAGTATTACCCCCATTAGCTAAAACTCAGATATGATTACCGGCAATACTATGTGAAATCAAATTCAAACATATTTGACAAGATATGGTTATACAGTATTATAACTAGGAATGAAAATTTCAGTGAAATGAACATCTCATTTAAGCATAATATTGAAATTTTAGGCTAAATTTTCATTAAAATGTGAAATCTTCATATATTCATAAATACTTTCAAACTAGATACTTTTAATGTGGTGAAATATTTAAATATCAAACTAATTAAAACATTTTTCATTAAAAATAATTGCAAAAATTATTTTGGTTCTTTAAATATTTTAAATTTATTAAGCATTATTGCAAATTCTATTATACAGTCAGACCTCGGTTTTGTCAATCATCTATGCTGTCAACTCCTCTATGTTATCAACCAAATCCCAAAACCCACAGTACATAGACATAATGTTAAATTAACCTCTATGTAGTCAACCCCTTTATGTTATCAACCAAATGCCCCTGCTTCATTTTGTTGATAACATAGATGTTTCACTGTATATTTTGTAAAAATTTTACTTGAAGTGTGAATTCTAATATTCTATACTACAAAATAATAATGAAATTACGACAAATCAAGTATTCATTTTAGTATTCAAATAAATTACGTTTTGATAAAGGCTGTTAATTTAGTTTAAATGACACAAATTAGTGATTTATTTAATAAATATGTGTAATATAAACGCCGCTAATATAGTGCTTGAAAATTTAGCCTAAATGTTGAGCAAGACCCCTAAAGGTTCACTAAATTTAGCCCTAAACATTCCCAAACTTTCACAACTAACATCTCTAATTATAACGTTTTTTAATCTTATTGAAAAATATTGTTTAAAACTTTTTTACAATTTATGACATTTGACTAACCCTTAGGGTAATGGTAAGTGAATTTCAATGAAATACAATAATGATTGTAATTTTAGAGATAATTTTACCTAGATAATATTACCACCTTTTGCTAGAATTCACATAATATTACCGGGTTTATTTATACAGATAAATACAATATTAGGTAGAATATTATTTATAAAGCTCTTGCTATTTTTAACCACAATTCAGTATGAATAATGTGGTTTATAGGATCGTTCTGCCCCAATAGAGCACCAATTTAATAGNCCCCGCTCTATGGGATTTAACATGGGATTACAGCTTAAGTCTATGGCTATACTTTAACATGGGATTCTAGAGTCTATGGAGAATTAACATGGGATTACAGCATAAGTCTATGGCTATACTTTAACATGGGTAATGCTAAGTCTATAACATAGAAATAACATGGGTAATGCTAAGTCTATGACATAGAAATAACATGGGTAATGCTAAGTCTATGACATAGAGATAACATGGGCAATGCTAAGTCTATGACATAGAGATAACATGGGCAACGCTAAGTCTATGGCATAGGGATAACATGGGTAATGCTAAGTCTATGGGCGTAATGTTATTTCAATGGGATAATTCTTTTTCTACGGAGATATACTAAATGAATTTGACATAATAAATAAAACTAATTCTTGTAAAAAACATTCAAAATTCTCAAAATAATAATAGTGAACGTATTTCAACAATAGTATTGAAAATTTTAAAATCCTTTGATGCATTTCCCGAATTGTGGTTAACGTATAGCATCGCTGTGTGGTCCTTGTTTTAGATCCAAATTTCAAACTATAATCTAAAATTATTGACCAATTTTAAATTATTGACTACAGTACAGACCGAGGGTTATTTACACAATCAATATGTATATAATCTATACGTTTTTTGTGGGAATTATAAGTCTATAATGATGAATGACTATAATAACAATTAATCTGAATATAAAATTCATTTTAATTTATTTTAAAAACTAGTTGATAATGATAATTTTTATATCCATATAATTAAACATAATTTAATATAGAGAAGAATTCAGAACTTAAAAACTGAGCTGTTCACTAAATCGTATTTAATTAACATTAAAATAAAACTAAAAACTAGATCGGATACATGTTTTTTATATTAATAACTACAGTATAATATTATTTATAAATTGTATATTATCCACAATAAACTTACAGCTTAGCTTATGGAATTTTATTGCAAACTTATATTTATTATCAAGTTTTATAACTTATATTTACAATTAATCTGTGTTTCTAATAGTTTTTAATGATTATTATAATCGCTTTCAATAGAAATGTATTGTTAGACTTACTATTACACAAATATACGTATTTTATTTATTGGAATTTTTATACATTTAATCAAAATATATTTTATTAATTAAATAATTTTACATTTAAGATATTTAAAACAGTTTGAGTGCATTTAATGTAATTGTAATAATTATTTATAAAATTAATAATTATTTTGTGAAAATGTGTGAATTATTAAACAAGTTTAAAATTTGTGATAAAATTCCGACAGATATTAAACAAAAGATATCAAAATTACACGTTTTTAAAGATTTTGATGAAAAATCTAACGTATTATTCGTGACATCAGATCAGAAAGTGTTTAGTTTTGGTAATAACTACAGGGGATGTCTGGGTTTAGGACACGACAGCCCTATACTATCACCACAAATAATACCACAATTATGTAATAAAAACATAGAATACTTTGTAAATGGATGTGCTTTTGTGTTAGCTGTGAATGATATGAATATAATATACGGTTTTGGTAGTAATGGTGGCGGACAATTAGCACGAAGTGATCATATTGGAAATTGTCTAACACCTGAAATAATATCACATTTTAATGATATAAATATTATAAAACTCAGTTGTGGTACTGACCACACTCTGGCACTAAGCAGTGATGGCCGGGTGTATGCCTGGGGTTGGAATAAATTTGGACAAATTGGTTGTGGAGATAATAATGAATATATTTGTATACCAATTGAAATACACTTCCAAAATAGTCATAAAATACAATCCATTTATTGCTCGTATTGCTCTTCATTTGCCATCACATCTGATGGACATGTGTTCAGTTGGGGTGAAAATGATGTCAATCAATTGGGATACAAAATAAGCGATGAAAAAGTATTTATACCTCGAATGATATCATCGATCGATTGTTTGAAAACAATTGGCATTTGTAGTGATAAACTTTGTTTTTTAACAAATGATTTATACTTTTTATACTTATGGAGTAATTGTGTACGAATTTTACGTGGTAAAATTTTCTCAATATTTCACGGAAAAAATCCGTCTAAAATCACTTTAAAGTATTGTATTCAAAAATTGGAACAAATGGATTCATATATGGATGAAACTGACTTTATTTGTGTTTTAATAAACGATAAAATACATAAAATAACAGAAATTAATAAAATAATTGAAACAAATTATAATAGTTTTATTGACTTTTACGCCAATGAATACGAAATTACTTACAATACAATTGATTTGATAGAAATTCAGGAAAAAATAATGTCTTCGCAAAACAAATGTAAAAATAAAAACGATTTCGATTCAAATGATATTTCAAGTGATGGTAACTATAAAAGACAATTCATAGAAATGTCAGCCATAGGTTCGGGTGGTTTTGGGACTGTATTTAAAGTAAAGCATAGATTGGATGATAAGATGTATGCCATTAAAAGAGTACAATTTGAGGGTATAAATTAAAAACAACATTTTGTATTAAATTAAAATAACAATTATTTTCATAGATTTTAGCGAAGAAAAGAGACTCACAGTTCTGAATGAAGCGAAAAGTTTGGCAAAACTGGACTCAGATTTTGTAGTAAAGTATTATCACTCATGGCTTGAGTCCAATCATCTCTTCATTCAAATGGAGTTCTGTTCACAAAATCTTAAGACAATTCTTGAAAACAAAGCCATTGTTTTCGAGAGACAACCGGAAGACCAGATGAATAATGTGTTCGAGTATTTCATTTCATGTGAAATATTCAAAGAACTCTTAGAATGCGTTCAATATTTACATGAATCTAAACCTCCAGTCATTCATCGGGATCTCAAACCCGACAATATATTAATTGATTCCAACATTAATTCCAATCGTATCTTAAAATTGTGTGACTTTGGTTTAGCCAAAGAGTCCAACACTAATGGACAGACCTTTAGTAATACAGTTGTGGGCACTTCTAGATATATGGCACCCGAAGTATTTAGTGGTAAATATAACCACAAATCAGACATTTATAGTCTGAATATAATCGGCGGACAATTGTTTGATATCGATCTTTAAGTGTAAGTGTTTTCTATTAAAAATTTCCTGAAATGTTTAATATATTAAATACAAATTTTGTTATGTATTTTAATTATTTTACGCATTTATAGCTCGCAATCATTTAACGAAAATGAATCGTTAAAGTCATGCAAACTATGTATATATGAAACACTTCTGGCAATGATGTCAACACCCTTTTGGCGACAAAGACCTGAGTGTCGGCAAGTGTTGGCCAAATATAACGAGTGGTCAATCGATAAGACATTTATCAAAGATCACAAAGAATTCAATTCAGGTTTAAAGAAACTTAAATCTAATAATAATTCAATTTTTTATGAGATTTTATTTCGCAAAACAAAGTAATAAATTTATTTAATTATATAACATATATTCTATTCAATAATATTGTATTTATTCTAAAATAATAATGATTTTATCAAACAATAAACTTAATTAGCTTTACTAGACTCAAAAGGAATTATTTTGGAAGATAAATGGCGTAGCCCATTCTAATTGGTATGGACATGTTCCGCACGGTTCATAGATGTATTTTCTTTTGAGATAATCGGCGAATGGCCAGAAATGACCGAATTATGGTCAAAATTCTAGATTTCTACATAGCGTTTAATGCATAGAAAAGTGGTGATTCACACAAAACTTGGATCATTCACCAAAATGATATCCACCTGAATGTTTCTCAATGCATTAAACGCTATGTAGAAATTTCGAATTTTGACCATAAGTTAATTGTTAATTGTTAGCGAAGTGTACTCTTTATTGTCCACTACTTGTGGTTACGATAGCTGGCGATCGCTCGCGAATCTACTTCACTCAACACTTTATTCTTTTATGCAAATGAAGAACGCGATAGATTTGGTAAAAGTTTAAGATCGTCTAAATATCCCACAAAAATACGTGCAAAGTATTGTTACGAGGAATTGGAACAAATCTATTCGCAAAATTATATAAACAGATTTATATGTGTTTTACTGAACGATAAAATATATGAAATATCTTATGGAAAGGAAAGAAATGAATTGAATGAAATTGAAACAATTTATAATAATTTTATTGATTTGTACGCCAATGAATGTCAAATAACTTATAATACAATTGATTTGAATAAACTAAAAGAAAAAATAGTTTTATCACAAAATAAAAAAAGTGAAAATAAAAGTGAAAATAATAAAAGTGATTGCGATTTGAGTGATAATTCAAGTGACGATATTTATAAAAGACAATTCATTGAGATCTCGACCATAGGTTCGGGTGGTTTTGGGACAGTATTTCAAGTAAAGCATAGATTGGATGATAAGATGTATGCCATTAAAAGAGTACAATTTGGGGGTAAGGTTTCAAAACATTGTAATAAACTTTATTTTGCGTTAAACTTTAAAAACAATTATTTTCCCAGATTTTAGTTCAGAAAAGAGATTCCGAATTCTTAATGAAGTAAAAATGTTGTCAAAAATGGACTCAGATTTTGTGGTTAAATATTATCACTCATGGCTTGATTCCAATCATCTCTTCATTCAAATGGAGTTTTGCTCACAAAATCTTAAGACAATTCTTGAAAACAAAGCGATTGTATTCGAGAGACAACCGGAAGACCAGATGAATAGTGTATTTGAATATTTCATTTCATGTGAAATATTCAGAGAACTGTTAGAATGCGTTCAATATCTTCATGAATTGGTTCCGCCAGTCATTCATCGGGATCTCAAACCCGACAATATATTAATTGATCCCAACTTCAGATCCAATCGTTTTATAAAATTATGTGACTTTGGTTTAGCCAAAGAGATTAAAACAAATGAACAGACCTTTA